ATATTGCCACAGTTCGGTTGTGAGGAGAGAAGTTAAAGAACGGTAAGCACTGACAGAACCTGTGACCAGTTGCAGAGTCAACTGTGAACAGACTCACTTGGATGGAGTTTATACATCGAGGCTCTCACAAACTCATTATTGTCTATAGTTTCCTGGATTCTAGCTACATCAGACACATTTAAAACAAATTTGACACAAGGGGTATATTGCTTTGCTCAGTGGAACTCAAAAGAACCCAATGTTTATACAGCAGCACAAGTTTCATGCTCTTCTGTGCTCCTAAAAATTTAAAAAAGTTCTTTATTTAAGACTCAGAGAGACAGACAGAAAGAGATGGAATAAAAGAATATCTGTAGGGGCCAGCGCTGTGGCATAGTGGGTAAAGCCTCTGCCTGCATTGCCGGCATCCCATCCAGGCGCCAGTTCAAGTCCTGGCTGCTCTATTTCAGATCCAGCTCTCTGTTGTGGCCTGGGAAGGTAGTGGAAGATGGCCCAAGTCCTTGGGCCCCTGCACCGGCTTGGGAGACCTGGAGGAAGCTCCTACCTCCTGACTTCCGATCGGCTCAGCTCTGGCTGTTGCGGCCAGTTGGGGAGTAAACCAGCGGATGGAAGACTCTCTGATTTTCCTTCTCTCTGTGTATAACTCTGGCTTTCAAATAAATAAATAAATAAATCTTAAAAAAAAAAAAAAGAGTATCTGTACTCTTAACAGAGTATCTTACTAGGGTGGGCTACAAAGGAGATGCACGGCATTTCAAAAAATTTTACTGTGTCTTTAAGCTAGTCTCAACACAGCTGACTTCCAGTATGAATAAACACCTCACATTGTAAGTTTTCAGCTTAGCTCTTCTCCAGATACTGTTTCTTGGTGATGCCACTAAAGAACTTTGAATTTTGAACATATTTCACCTTCCAGTATTGTCCGCCTTGGATTTTATAGCTGCTTTTATCTACACTTGAACTTCAGGCTGCACTAACTAGTGATACCAGGCAATAATACCCCAGCTATCCAGGCAATAGCACCATCCAGGACAATAAAGAATCAGGGAAGGGTTGCAAAATCAATTTGTTTAAATGGTTAAGCATCATCATATCAAAGAAGGAGGATACTAAAGGTTTCTCCTTTATGATCACCCAACAGTTCAAAGTAACTTCATGGCAAAAATCTCAAAATTTAAATTCATCAAGTTAGAGCAATGAAAATACTATCACACGTGAGTGTCAGCATTATAAAAAAGGAGCATGTAATGAGTATATGAGTTAAAATGATAATACTTTTTTTTAAGAGCTGTATTTATTTACTTGAAAAGCAGAGTTACAGACAGAGTCTTCTAGTTCACTGCTGGATCACTCCTCAAGAGGCCGCAACAGCTGGAACTGGGCCAGGCCAAAGTCAGGAGCTTCATCTAGGTCTCCCATGTGGGTGCAGGGGCCCAAGCACTTGGGCTGTCTTCCCCTACTTTCCCAGGCACATCAGTAGGGAGCTGGATCAGAAGTGGAGCAGCCAGAACTCCAACCAGCAGCCACATGGGATGCCGGCACTGCAGGTAGCAGCTTAACCCACTGCACCACAGCACCGGCCAACACGTTTTAAAGATCTGAAATAACTTTCTTTTCTCCCTGACCTATGTACTATTGAAGTACTATGTTCCATATTCAAAGGGGAAATGATTATATGAAGTGTGATATTTCCTTGTTTGGGGTCCAAGGAACTAGTTCCAATAGGAAAGGCCAAAGTTTGAGAGAAGCAACAAAATCACTATCCTAACAGGTCATCATATCTTGCTTTCAATGTCCCATAAGAGACCTAGGCTTTAGGTTGAATTCCAAAGAATGACATTTCAGTTTCAGCAGGAAGCCAGTTGAATTAACATGTACTTATATAAGCTTTTGCTTTCAATTCATATACCTAAAATATGACACTTTGGCTCAGTATATTTTACATTTTTTCCATGTACAGATGACCATGTTCTGAATCCCTGCTCAATTTTTCCTCTTTCACAAAGTTTTCCTAACTCCCTGATACAATTGATTTCAATTTCTTACATACTTCTAAGCATGTTATTTCTAAATCTAGAATTTTTTTTAAGTTCTTATACTTGTTTTTAACTTTTATGTCTTTGTCCTCTATAGACAAACTGAAAATACCTGGAACCAAGACTTTTGATCTTTCTGTACCTCATAGTGCCCAGTTCACTACTTTGTAAACACTAATCAGTACATATTTATTTAATTGACTCAAAATGTGAAAAATAGGGAGAAATGTCATATAGTTTCTTTATATTCATATTTACATTAGGGATTTAAATGATCCCAGTCAATGCAAATAAGCAATTGCCAAGGAAAAGGAGAGAGATAGGACAATCAAGCACACATCCAAGCATTCAAAGATATCTATTAGATGAGTTCTCAAAAAGGAATAAGAAGTAATTCTATTACATTGGCTATGCATGGGCACTCTAGATCCTGCTTATTCTTGATTGTATTTAAACGCCTACCTTACTATGATCTATCAGCTAGGAAACCAAGCCAAGCAATAGAAAGTGAGTGCTTTCTCAATACTAATAATAAAACCAGAAACAGAAAGCTCCTTTAAGATATGTTAAGGTGGGTGTTAGCCAGGCTGGATGGTACTCCCTTGATATGTAAACTACAGCAGATATGTGTTTTATTCTTGGTAAGATGTTTCCTGGATCCTTGGTTATACCATTTCATTTGAAGACATAATACCCTGCAATTCAAAGTCCTGGAGAGCAGAAGCATCAGTATCACCTGGAAGCTTTTTAGAAATGTAGAATCTTGGAATACACCTCAGATATGTTAAATTAGAATTTGCATTTTCACAAGTGACTCATTTGTAGGTAACATTCTAAGAATTATGGGCATGAGGTACCCTAGCAGCAATATTTCATTTATATCCTGGTAGTCTCTCAGCTCTAAACAATAATTCTATTGGAAAAATAGAATATTTGTTTCCTACATCCTCTCAGTCTCTACCCTTTAATGATTTTCCGTGGATCTATCTATTTGTTTTAAAATTCAATACATAGGCTGGTGTTGTGGAGCAGGGGGTTAAGCCAATACTTGTGATTGTAGCATCCCATACTGGAACACGGGTTCGAGTTCTGCCTGCTCCATTTCTGATCCAGCTCCACACTAATGCACCTGGGAAGGCAGCAGATGATCGTCCCTGCCACTCACATAGGAGACCCAGATGGAAATCCAGGCTGCTATCTCCAGCCTGGTGCAGTTCCAAGGCCAATTTGGCCATCTGGGGAGTGAGTCAAAGATGGAAAATCTTTTTCTTTCCCCCTGTCTCTGTTAGTCTTTCAAATAAATAAAAATAAATCTCTAAAAAATTAAAATAAGATGTAAGTAGAAAAACACACAAAAAAATCTCTGTGGAGCATACAATGTACATATTTCTTTCATATATGTTATATTATTTGATCCTTATGATAGACCTGTGAGAATCATTATAAATTACATGAAAGTCACCTGGCTACCTGGCTACCTGGCAACAGGGATGTCACCGATGATAATGCCCAGCAATGAAGAAATCACTGGAGAAAATCCTAGCAATGCACTGGAGAAAATATTCAGCAATAAAGAAATCACTAATGAAAAGTCTGTGGCAACACATGATGAAAAACCTGCTGGCCAACAGCAGTCTACCTCATTCATATAAAACCTCCCAAACTGTAGTCTCTGGGCCACAGTAGTCAGCTTCACAGCTGCTCCCTTGTAGTGTATTTTAATAAATCTGGGGCCGGCGCTGTGGCGCAGCTGGTTGAAGCCCCAGCCTGCGGCAGTGGCATCCCATATGGGTGCTGGTTCGAGTCCCGGCTGCTCCACTTTCAACCTGGTTCTCTGCTGTGGCCTGAGAAAGCAGTAGAAGAAGGCCAAACTCCTTGGGCCCCTGCACCCACATGGGAGACCCAGAAGGGGCTCCTGGCTCCTTGCTTCTGATCAGCTCAGCTCTAACCATCCTCTCTTTCTCTCTGGCTCTACCTCTCACTGTAACTCTTTCAAATAAATAAAATAAATCTTAAAAAAAAATCTATCTCTTCTCATTCTCTTCTCTGTATTCTATTGCTTGTGAATTCCTTCACCACTCACAAAATTGACCTCAATTGGTTGCTTCCTGTGACACATAACTTGACACTTGCCGCCTATGCAATAAATGTCTGAGAACATGCGTGTATGATGCTTTGAAGATGCAAAAGACTTACCCCCCTAACCAACCAGCCCTATAAGCAATTCTAACTACATTATCCATGGAGCCAAACTTAAAAGCCAATGTCAATGTTGTTCTTGAATCTTTTGCCCTTTCAACCATCATAACCCAACTTATCCCACTAAGAGACACTAAACATGCACACTCTTGATGAAGGCTTTTAAAACAGCTATTACATATGGATTTGCTGTCAGTTTTTCTAGAATGCATGCGCTGAAGAAAAAAAAAAGCTTTTTAAAAAATCCAATTCATGCTCACCAGCAATGACATTTTCAACTAATTAAAACCCCCTTGGGTATTTCTGTTTTGTATAGCATGACTTCTTTTGAAGTGTGATCTAATCATGTGCTCTGAAATCTTCAGCCATTAGTAAAGCAACATAAGGAATCATATTAAACATGTATGATAGTTTCATCAAGAAAGTGTTTATCGTATTATTGTGTAATACAATGATTTGTTAACCAGGCTTAAAACCAGTAAATTGCTAGTCATTTTCAAAACATTCAATCCAAATCTATATCACATCAAAATGTAAAATATTAACTAAAATTTTAGCCTTCATTAAAATGCTTTAACAGTGGCATTTAGACATATAAAATACATCACTTTTACTAAAACCTCTTGGTCATTATCGAATAGACAAAGTGTCTAAAATTAAAAGGCACAGATATAGAGAAGGAATTTTAGAGAGATTCTCTAGACATATCACCCATCTCTGTTTTATAGATTTGGAAAGAAAAGCCAAAGAGGGCACACAACTTACCAAAAGTTCTACAGTGGTTTGTCACTGCCTGGCCGAGTGACTCTGGGCAAGTCCCTTTTCTCTCAGCCTCAGTTTCTTGATCTGCAAATGAGGTGATTGGACTATATGATGTAAGATCTCAAACAGCCTGAAATACCATTATTCTGGTGGACTAGAAACCACATTCCCTCTCCGACTTTTAAATACATGAAAAGATCTTTAAATGATGCTTGGCATGTCTGATGTTCCAGCTTGTTGATTCTATTAACTTAGCTTGATACTTCGGAGCCATGTTGGTTGCCAGCATGCACGACAGACAAACAAACCAGGAGAGAAAGGCTGTTGGCATACTCTTTGCCTGAGAAATGCTACAACTGAAAAGCAGCCCAGAGTGATGGTAAGTATTCTCCTCCCACTTTTAAGAGTCTGATGACTCCCTCTGTCTGGGCTCTGCCTCAGAAAATTCTTCCTAGCTCACTGGAGCCCTGGGTATCCAGCCCTTGACCTAACCTTAGACGGAGATGCATTTCCTCCTGGAAGACTCCCTGCCTGGACAAGTCATTCAAAATTAACTTTAAAAGGGACTGCAGGCTCCAGGGAGCTGTACAGTTTTGCATCTTTTAATCAATTGTCTGGCCTTCTCTGGTCTTTTGTGAAATCTTTTTTTATTCCATTACAATTTTTATTATGTTAATAAACAAAGAGTTGGTATGCATAATAAAAAAGACAAATTCAGCCTTTGAATGGAGGCTCTGTCATGATCATTGGTCATGCTTTAATTACATTTACTTATCTTACATTCCTCATTCTTGTAAGGGTAGTATCTTTGAAATGGCTTCTATTTACATTTTTTGTTAATGAGTTCCATCCTCCTCTTCCCCCACCAGCATTCTTTTCTTCTCATTATTACTATTTTCTACTGGGAAATCAGAAAGGCAATGGTTTAGAGTTCTAAAAGTAGATTTAGAGAAAGCAACTCCATAAAGCATGCATTGTGCATGGAAGAGTGGGTACTGCCAATGTCCCTACTAATTAAGTCAATCAGAATTCAATTGTTTTAGCCCATTTTTATGATGTATAGAACTGATAATAAAGCATTGTGTCCTATTAACCAGAACACATTTAAAGAAAGCAAGAGGAGGCAGCATTTGACAAAGTGGTTAGGACACCTGCATCTCATAGGAGTGCCTGGGTTTGAGACCTAGCTCTGATTCTAATTCCAGCTTTTTGCTAATATATATCTTAGGAGACAGCAGCTGACTGGTCAGGTATTTGGGTCTCTGTACCCAAGTGGGTAGCCTGATTTAGTACTTGACTTCTTGATTCTGCCAGACACAGTCCTGGCTATTGCAGGCATTTTGGGGAGTGAACAAGTGGATGGGAGACTCTCTCTCCCTTAAATTAAATAAATAAATAAATAAAAATTAAAAGTGAGATATAATCTATATTTGAATAATTGTATATAAAATGAGGGATAAGAATTTTAGGCAAAAATACATTACCTAATAAGCAAAATTTTGATGTCACTGTTATTATTATTGTCTTCTGTTATTTATAAAATACTTATTATGTGCTAGGAATTGTCTCAAGCATTTCACATGATTACAAAATTTTAACCTTATAGATATATTTCAGTGTTATCCTTAAAAGAGGATGTAAAAATGGGAGGGAGCCAAACAGCAGCCTCAAAGAACAACCAACTTCTTGAAAAACTTTTAATTGAAGGATGAAAATTTGGCAATAGAGGTTAAAACACTGCTTGGGATGCCCACATCCCATATTGGAGTCCCTGGGATCCAGTCTAGGCTTTACTCCTGATTTTAGTTTCCTGCTTATGCACACCCTTGGAGACTGCAGGTGATTGTGCAGGTAATTGGCCACCTGCCACTCACAAAGGAGACCTGAACTGACTTCCCAGCTCCAGCTCTCTGCTTTGGCCTGGGAAAGCAGCAGAAGAGGTCCAAGTCCTTGGGCCTCTGCACCCACGTGGGAGACCTGAAGAAGCTCCTGGCTCCTGGCTTCTGAACCAATGGAAGGAAGACCTTTTTTTCTGTCTCTCCCTCTACTTGTCTGTAACTCTCTCAAATAAAATAAATAAAATCTTTAAAAAAAAATCCAATGCTCTGTAACTTTGATTTTAAAGTTGAAGATACACCAATAAATGTCCACTTGTATGTTCAATAGAATAATCAAGGCAGAAAACGTTTTACCTGCCAGCCTGCCATTATCAGTTATCTGGTGAAACCGAAACAAGCTTAAATCACCCAAGTGTTTGTTAACAAACCACTTAATGAAAAGTTTTCACATGCACTTCTTGTAACTAAAAAGACAATGTGGAGTGAATTAAAAAGGAAAAATGAATTTTTTTTTCTAGTCTGAAAAACAGTATTAATCTTTGAAGCACCTTGAGGTATACATGGCAGACAAACATACATTTCTCTCTACAAGAAAAGAACTTAGAAGCCTTTGAATCAGTTACTATTGTTATATATTCCTATGATATTAATGTTAGGAATGGGCATTTAGCCTAACAGTTAAGATGTCCATGTCCCACACTGGGTTCAATTCCTGGCTCCATTTTTCTGACTCCAGCTTCCTGACAATGCAGACCTTCGGAGGCAGTTATGATGGCTCAAGTAATTGGGTTCCTGCCACCCATGTGAGAAACATGAACTGTGCTCTTAGTTCCCAGTTTTGACCTCAGCCCATCCTCAACTATTGTAGACATTTTGGGGGAAGGAACCAGTTGGTGGGATCTCTTTTTCTCTTTCTTCCTCTCAAATTAAAAAAAATAAATTTAACAATCAAGGTTGATTTAAAAACAGTAATATGAATTCACCTGAATGTGCCTACTAGCACAGTAGAACATCTTGTCCATTTCTTGTATCATAATGAAGTGACAACTAGACAGACTTTTAAGTAGTATGTATTCAAGTTGGTTTGAATGCGTTAAATTTCTACAATATGATCTATACCAGCAGCTCTCAAGCAATTGGGACAGTGGAGTGCTTCTTTTCAAGGAACATTGTGGACCCAGCACAAGCTATGACACTTTAAATATCTGTGGCTAAGAAAACACTTCAATGACAATAAAATTCATGGAGTACCTTCCTAGAAAGTGAAAAATAGAAAACTGTTCTTAAAGTCCAGTGCTATTGGTGAGAACACTGAATCCCTCAAAAGGAAAGTGATGTATCTGTATTTCCCAACAAGTCGGGGTTGCTGGGGCTCAGAAAGCAGTACTGCAAAAATATGGCATGTTGGTACACATGGAGTACTTTATTTATTTATTTTTGAGATTTATTTATTTATTTGAAAGTCAGAGTTACACACAGAAGGAGAGGCACAGAGAGAGAGAGAGAGAGAGAGAGCGAGCGAGAGAGAGGGAGAGAATGACTCTTCCTTTTGCTGGTCACTCCCCAATTGGCTGCAATGGCTGGAGCTGTGCTGATCCAAAGCCAGGAGCCAGGAGCCAGGAGTTTCCTCCAGGTCTTCCCACATGGATGCAGGGGCCCAAGGACGGGACCATCTTCTACTTTCCCAGGCCATAGCAGAGAGCTGGATCAGAAGTGGAGCAGCTGGGACTTGAACCAGCACCCATATGGGATGCTGGCACTGCAGGAGGTGACTTTACCTGCTACACTACAGCACCAGCCCCACATGGAGTACTTTTAAAAAAGAGTCTCAGAATAACTCCACCATTTGGGGCAAGTCCGATTGAGCATGTCCCAAATTGTACAACTCCTCCCTCTTTTATTCCCACTCTTATATTTAACAGGGATCAATTCTCAGTTAAAATTTAAACACCTAAGAATAATTGTGTGTTAATTACAGAGTTCAACCAATAGTACTAGAACAAAAAAAAATACTAAAAGGGATAAAGTATTACATTGTACATCAACAGTCAGGACAAGGGCTGATCAAGTCACTGTTTCTCATAGAGTCCATTTCACTTCAACAGGTTTCCCCTTTGGTGTTCAGTTAGTTGTCGCCGATCAGGGAGAACATATGATATTTGTCCCTTTGGGACTGGCTCAATTCACTCAGCATAATGTTTTCCAGATTCCTCCATCTTGTTGCAAATGACCGGGTTTCATTGTTTTTTACTGCTGTATAGTATTCTATAGAGTACATGTCCCATAATTTCTTTATCCAGTCTACTGTTGATGGGCATTTGGGTTGGTTCCAGGTCTTAGCTATTGTGAATTGAGCTGCAATAAACATTATTGTGCAGACAGCTTTTTTGTTTGCCAATTAAATTTCCTCTGGGTAAATTCCAAGGAGTGGGATGGCGGGGTTGTATGGTAGGGTTGTATTCAGGTTTCTGAGGAATCTCCAGACTGACTTCCATAGGGGCTTAACCAGTTTGCATTCCCACCAACATTGGGTTAGTGTCCCTTTTTCCCCACATCCTCTCCAGCATCTATTGTTGGTAGATTTCTGAATGTGAGCCATTCTAACCGGGGTGAGGTGAAACCTCATTGTGGTTTTGATTTGCATTTCCCTGATTGCTAGTGATCTTGAACATTTTTTCATGTGTCTGTTGGCCATTTGGATTTCCTCTTTTGAAAAATGTCTATTGAGGTTCTTGGCACATCTCTCAAGTGGGTTGTTTTGATGTTGTGGAGTTTCTTGATTTCTTTGTAGATTCTGGTTATTAGCCCTTTATCTGTTGCATAGTTTGCAAATATTTTTTCCCATTCTGTCGGTTACCTCTTCACTTTCCTGACTGTTTCTTTTGCAGTACAGAAACTTTTCAATTTGTTGAATCCCAAATGTTAATTTTGGCTTTTACCGCCTGTGCTTCTGGGGTCTTTTCCAAGAAGTCTTCGCCAGTACCTATATCTTGCAGGGTTTCTCCAATGTTCTCTAATAATTTGATGGTGTCAGGTCGTAGATTTAGGTCTTTAATCCATGTTGAGTGAATTTTTGTGTAAGGTGAAAGGTAGGGGTCTTGCTTCATGCTTCTGCACGTGGAAATCCAGTTTTCCCAGCACCATTTATTGAATAGACTGTCCTTACTTCAGGGATTGGTTTTGGATCCTTGATCAAATATAAGTTGGCTGTAGCTGTTTGGATTGATTTCTGGTGTTTCTATTCTG